GCGCCTGCAGGCAGCCTGTGGGCAACCGCAACCCAGGAGTCACTGAGGGGGCCGCCGGCAGCCCAGGGGGTCGCTGAGGTGGCCGCGGGCGATGGCAGCCTTTGCTCTCCGGCCCACACAGTTTCTCGTCCCCAGCTCGGCGCTCCAGAGGGAATCTGTGTCCCCGCACCCAGGAAGGGCCTCCCTGGCACAGCCCAGACGGCAGCAGGCACAGGAGGGGTGGTGGGGACGGCTCCCCGTGAGCACAGGCAGGAGCGTGGGGCAGAGGAGAGCCCTGCCAGGCACACACACCACAAAGGCGACGCAGGCTCACCTCTCCCTGCCCTCTTGCCCAGGAGACAGCAGGACAGGTCCGCTGCTTCCCACACGCCGCCTTGTTTCTTCCCACCCATGCCCGAACCGGAGTGAGAGGTTTTAAACTCTGGCAAAACGGTGTTTTCACACCAGCTGCGCTATGGGTCACATGCTGTATTCCGTGGCCTTGCAGGGAAGTACCCTGGAAGATACAGGAGATTTTATTTTAAAACAGTTGCAATTTAGAGAGTGAAGTTGAGAGTGAATAAATCATTTATCAAAAAAAAAAAAAAGGGACTTGACAACAGCCATGCTAGCTTTGAACTCCCGTCAAATTCAAACAGTTTCAAGCACCTCTAACAGGATTAATGATTTTGAAAACTAAAAGAAAAGAAACTAAAGAGGAAGATTTTTTTTGGTCCTTTCATAACTTTATTGGAACTACATATGTTTACATTAAAATTTGTCAGTCTCGTGTATTTAAAAACTACAGTCATAGAATTATAGAATGGGTTGGGTTGGAAGGGACCTTAAAGATCATCCAGTCCCAACCCCCCTGCCATGGGCAGGGACACCTTCCACTAGCCCAGGTTGCTCAAAGCCCCGTCCAACCTGGCCTTGAACACTGCCAGGGTACCAAACCTTATGGTTACCGGAAAATTACTTTTTCCAGCTCTGTTTCACAGAGCTGGTATGAAAAAGTGTATCAGATAGGCTCAAATCTTTTTTCCCCCAAGTCATTTGCTTCAGTGAATTAAGAGATCATTGATTCACACAGTTCAGAGACTACAGAACTGGAGAGTCTCCAGCTCTGACACTACGCGTTTTCATATCCTTCAGCTATAGATCTAAAGTCCTCTCATAAAGATCTACTGAAGGAAGCCGAGTTACACCAAGCGTCAATTCTCACTGACCATTTGGACTGCAGCATAGCTTTTACACAACAGATAGGTCAAGGCCCTGCGATTTTTCTCTCTATTAGTAAAAAAAGTGATTCAAGCCTGTTTCCCACTAAAAGTTGTGGGTGAGGTTGATGTTAGGTTAGTAACTAGTCTGTCCCTGTAGTTGTATATAAAAGCGCTTGCAGACTTCCGTTGTCCATGCTGTAAGCACTCATAAGAACCATCAACAGCTCTGGTTATAGTCGGTATCCTATTGCCTCTGCTCCAACATAAGCATTGGTTGGAAGGGATCTCTGGGGGTCACTAATCCACCCTCTCACTCAGAGGAGCACCATTGCCAGCACTAGCCAAGGTGTTCACCTAGATGCTGAAAATATTCAAGGACAGAGACTCCACACCACCTCTGGCCACCTGTCCCAATACTGTGCCACCCTCTTGGTGAAGAATTTTTTCCTAAAGTCCAGGCCTGAACCTCGCAAACTGTAATTTGTGGCTGTTGTCCCTTGCGATATCCAAAGATAGCCTGGCACCATCATCTTCAAAACTTACCTTGAGGTAGTTGCTGGCTCTCATTAAATCATCCCAACATCTCCACTTCACATGACTAAACAAGATCACCTCCCTCCAACTCTCCTTGTAACTTGTGTGCTGTAGGGTTTCTCATCATCTTAGTAGCCTTCCACTGGACAGTGTCCTCAACACCCATCTTGGACTGTGAGGCTGGAAACTGGAGACAGTATTCCAGGTGCTGCTTCACTAGTGGGGGATAATTACTTTACCCAACCTGCTGGACATCGCCCAGCACACAGCTTGCTTATGTTCAAGGAGAGCTCACATTCATGATGTTGATGTAGCTCCCAGGTCCCTTCCAGCACTGTTATCAGCCAGCCAGTTCCCAGCCTGTACCAGTGCATGGGAGTTTCCTGCTCCACATGCAGAACTTGCCCTTTCTCCTTGCTGATCTTCTGCAGGTTTCTGTTGGCTCACTCCATTCAAGGCCTCTCTGAATTGAAGTTGCACAAGATGAGATGTCGACCCTGCTTTCTAATTTAGTATTGTCTGCAAAATAGTGTGCTAGCCAATAGTAGCAAAAAAAAAAAATCTTAGTGCTAAAAAGATAGGACCTATCTTGACAAATATCACTGATTTTAATCACAGAATAGGAATCTGGGAAAATTATTTTACTGCAGTAGAAAGCTACAGACAAAAATACAGAAATACAATGCTAAGGGGGAGTCAAATCCACTGAGAGCATGAGCTACACCTAGAATCAATCTAGAACCCATCCAATACAATGAACACTACCTAAAACAAGCACAGTCCCTTGTCTGCCTTAATTATGGATTCAAAGTGGTTGAAAACCTGTACTGTTAGTAATTTTACTCATTTCTACAGAAAATGTGAGAAATTTGGGACCTGTGAAAATCAGTGGGAGAGTTCAACTGACTTCTGTGGAATTCTGATTCACTCAGCTGCACACAGAATCACACACAGAATCATCTAGGTTGGAAAGGACCCTGGAGATCATCTAGTCCAACCGTTAAAGTGACAGTTCTTATACTCCTCAGGAACTTAAATTTCGGCACTGATATATGAGTTCGGAGGAGTCTTTGTCTAGTCAAGTTTTCATTTCCATTGCTTGAAGGTTTGATGCTAAGCCATTCCAATTCGAAAGCCTAGCCAATTACACTGATCCTGAAATGGTAAAGTCAACAAAAATGTTGGCATTAATTCAGAGTTTATGAAATGTTTCAGGACAACTCAACATGGAAGTCCTTACAAGGCAAGTAGTGACAAATTTGGAAAAAAAAAAAAAGCTTTCATTGTGAAAGTAGCAAGAGTTGGCTAGTTGCTTTTGACTTTTTGCAGTGAAAAACAGTGAAACTTCAGCATGACATTCAGCTGCACTGCAGTGGCATCCATTTTAAGACTATTGTCGTACGAGAACAAATCTGTTGAATTACTTAGCATGAGATCAGAAACAAGGCTTTCTATATTCATCAACTCACTGATTTCTAAAGCTCTACACTGCATGTTGAAGAAAGCTATTACTGAAATCCACAGTAAGTTCTGATCGTATATACAGCATGGAAATACAGTGTTATAACATTTCCTATTTGTCTTATTATGGAAAATAAGAATCAGATCAATTTAGATGAGAGGGATGTAGCCTAAAATGTTTCTATGAGTAATACTGTCACCGTAAGTTCCTTTTCATGTTACACCTGCCTCTGTGGAGACTAAATACATGCTTACGTTTACACATTGTAAGGAGTCCACTAGTTCAAAAGCCTTTATAGAATTTTTATCTACAGCACAATGAAACATATTTTCAAGGCATATTTTAGAATTTTTACAAATTACAGACCCAATTGTTTTGCTATCACTATGTGTTCTTCAAACTGCTCACAGCAGGGAGATGGCACAGAAAAATATTTTAGTTAGATATTCATCATAGTCACTACTGAAAGTAATGATAGCTGTGCCTTCATCTTAAGAGTCTAGCAGCCTCCTGGAAATTTTGGTGTAGTAAAATTACAAGCAAGATCTGATGTGCTGCTGTAGAGTGAGGGATACAGGGAGTGACCTCACTGTCAGGACCAAAGTTAGAGGTCAGGTGTCCTCAGACCTGTGTGTAGGTGAGGAATTTATCCCTCCTTTCTAATGTCTCATTTCTCTTCTAGGGAAGTAACACCAACCTGGCAGTAATCCACATCAGCTCCAGTTTGCCTTATTTCTGCCGTAAGACACAGCGAGTCAGTGGCATAATTGTGATTAGCCACTCTGCGTTGGCAGGGTTTTGTCAAGCAGTTTTGTTCACTCTGACTTGGGAAAAACTCTGCAAATGTCACTGGGAAGCACAATGTGATGAAGGTTAAATAGTGTTACCAGATGCCTGCAGACCTTCCAGAGGAAACAAACCTGGTTTCATCTGCTTTGGAGGTAAATCATCCCAGGAGAGAGCTCCATGGACTGAGGACCACACAGACTTTTTGGTACTGGATCCACAAATAGGGGAACTGTGGTTTAACTGTTCTGTGAAAACCAGAGCAAGCTCCACTGTTGCTGATAGTCAGGAATTTCAAATAAAAGGCTAGCTATTAGTAATGAAGCTGTTGCAAAATGAAAAATATTTTGCTTATTTGAAGGTTAAATGTTTTCTGTTTCTAACATCAGTAAATGTTTTTGCCTAGAGTTTCCCAGCTGGCTTCCTCTTCTACTCTGACTCACTCTGTTTTGTCACAGTTGAGAAGTATTTAAGCCTAGAAAAGTCTTTGAAGTTGTTTGTCAACTGTCTTGCAAACACAGTTTAAAAGGTACTGCAAGATGTGGTTGTATTTTCAGCCACAGCTATCAAGCCAGACATTCTGTCAACCGGGGAAACCCTGTGGAGTTTTTTATCCTAAGGAAACGTGATCGGCTTCAAAGTGTAGCAGGATGCTATATGGTACCAAAATGACACTAAGAATCACTTTGAAATCTCTTCTTCATAAATAGTCTCCATGGTTTTAATGCAAGAATGAAAGTTTTTGCCAAGTAAGAACCAAAATCCTGTATGAAAAAGAGTGATAAAAGTTCTGTTCTGTATAAATTGCACACTGTATTTTAGTGGAAACTTTAAATGCCCATCATTTGATTACTTAATGTTTTATAATCAGGATTATGATCTTTCTGCTTGGAAGTTTAAAATTCTGAAATATGACCAGAGATAAAAGATTCATTTGAAAGTTGATGATTACCTCATTGGATGAACAGCTTCTGGACAGACAAGCCCATGTTATTGCACAGGCAGCAAATATGATGGTAAAATATTCTGTCTGGCTACAGTTCCCCTCGTGACTGTGAGCAGGGTTGGATTAAAACTATGTGAAGTTGATGTTTCCAGGTCAAGGCACAGGCATGAACAAATGTGCTGTGTATGCTGTGGATGGAGGATCCTGCCCCAGAACGCCCTTTGACTTCCCACTGCAGCACACATCTTTGTGTTCACCAGTATAGACCAGAGCGAAAATCAGAGCAAAAAACTCTCCTACCAAACCCACATGATCCTCAGACACTTTGCATACAAGCATGTACCAGCAAGCTGGAATTTGGCTCTCTGGATATCTATTAGCAGTTATCATGAATTTCAATCTTCCTTGGTTTTTTGAATCACTGGACTGCATCTTAGGCATCAACAGCAGCAGGGCCAGTGATGTGCAGCCAGCTCTGACGCTCTTGTTTTACCCAGTGAGCATCCCCCAGGCTAGAGGGCAAGGGTCTCTGGTAGGGCTTTTCTTCAAACATCTCTGAACCTCAAGCACTGAGGTGGCATTTCAGTCCAGGAGACAAGACTAGCTCTAGTGTGAAGTAAATTTCCTAAGCCACATCTACTTTAGTTATGGGGCTCTCAATATGAGTTTCTTTAATAACTTGACCCTCTCCTACTGTGCTTCATCGCTTGATAATATAGACATTGCCTTTGAAAGATGTCAGTGTTTGAACATGATTATCAATACATGGCAGCAACGATAACATTTGCCTTCCAACACAGTAATGTTCAGTTTGGAAATGAAGTAATAAAAAAAACTAAAAGAAAAGGGTAGCTCAACAGTTAGACTGCAAAAAGTCACTATGATAAAATGTGAGCACAGTTAATTTAAATTACCTGACACCTCATTTGATGAAATATTATAAATATACTATAAACATAATATATTAATATCAATAACTACTATAATATTAAGCAATGTTATTATATTTAAACAAATTGTTTTATTCAGAGGAAAGATGAGACACATCATGAACATGAATATATTGGACTAGCTAGGAATTACCCAAGCCTCATAACTGAAATCAAATATTCATTAGAAAAGATATAAAAGACATTTCTCTGTTGTACAAGGTTGCACAAAAAGGAGGAGGGAGCAAAGGAACAAATGAAATGCACAAATCTGCCTTTGTTGCAGCAAAACTGAGCTAGTGCAGGAATATAGGATAGACCCAGAAAGTCTTTTCATTTGCAAAATTTTAAAATAAGATCATGAAAAAAATAAATTACTAAGAATGAGAAAGCAGGAGGAGGGGAGTAGAATAAAAATGAAGCAAGGAGCAGAACTGAGATGTAACAAGCTTAATCAAACCCCCTATCTCAAAACTCAGTGTTTTTCAAACATTATTGTGTGGCTCATGATCAAATTTGCATCTAAAAAGAGAGAACAATGCTTTCAAAAATATCTCCTCCTTTAGTGCCTCAGGTGCAATTTTCAGTGCCAATATTATTTTTCATTTAGAAATCAAACAGAAATGCTGAAAAGAGTTGTCTTGGAGCCAACTAGGAAGTGGGTTTTTTCCCTTCTCACTGATACAAAAATAAACCCAAACTTTTAGTGTCAGAGAAGAATCACAGAATTGTCTAGGTTGGAAAAGACCTTGAAGATCATCCAGTCCAACCATTAACCTCACACTGACAGTTCCCAACTACACCAGATCCCTCAGCACTATGTCAACTCTACTCTTAAACCCCTCCAGGGATGGGGACTCCACCACCTCCCTGGGCAGCCCATTCCAACACCCAACAACCCCTTCTGGAAAGAAATGCTTCCTAATATCCAGTCTAAACCTTCCCTGGCACAACTTGAGGCCATTCCCTCTTGTCCTATTGCTTGTTACTTGGTTAAAGAGACTCATCCCCAGGTCTCTGCACCCTCCTTTCAGGGAGCTGTAGAGGGCGATGAGGTCTCCCCTCAGCCTCCTCTTCTCCAGACTAAACCCCCCCAGTTCCCTCAGCCGCTCCCCGTACGACCTGTGCTCCAGGCCCTGCACCAGCTCCGTTGCCCTTCTCTGGACACGCTCGAGTCATTCAATGTCCTTTTTGTAGTGAGGGGCCCAAAACTGAACACAGGAATCGAGGGGCGGCCTCACCAGTGCCGAGTACAGGGCTCAGATCCCTTCCCTGTCCCTGCTGGCCATGCTAGTGCTGACACAAGCCAGGATGCCATTGGCCTTCTTAGCCACCTGGGCACACTGCTGGCTCCTGTTCAGC